ATCAAAATGTGATAATGTTGTAAAATAAATTATTTAACTTCTCAGAGAATATGAAGTATGGATCTAGGAGAAAAGAGGGTATGGATCTAGGAGAAATAGAGCTGCTGGTCGCCCGAACCAACACCATTTACATATTTGAATTAATCAGGTGTTGAGAAGCCACATCGTGCTGCAATCTATAATGTAATACCCATTCTAATTGTGAGTATATTAAGAATAGAATTTTCCAGCTATAGTGCCAATCTCAAAATCTCTTAGAATGACCAACACTCTTCATCTTTGTCCCATTTTTTATTTCCTTTCTTTTTTTTATAGTTTTTCCATTATGATTGCTTTCTTTACTTTTAAGCCTTTTTTTGATAAATTTATTTCCGCTTGTCTGGAGAACTTCAATATGTCTTATGTCTCTTTTCTTATTTTTGAAAGAAAAAGACTAAAAAAAAATAAAAAGCCAGTAAAACAAAAAAAAATAGAAAAACTGTCAAATTTTTGCAAGAAAAAAAAATCCTATTTGTCTCCATATTGTTCGCTATCTCTCTTATTACTTACTTTTTATTAATACTAAAGAAGTAATCAAAGAAATAAAGTGAGAAAAACATAAAAAAAAATTGCAATGAACAGGAAAATCGAGAATTGGTTGAAAAGAGTAGAAAGGACATTATAAAGGATAAAATTTTTTTTTTTTGTAACTTTGCAATTTTTGATTTTATTGCTTTTTTATTTTTGTGCAGTTTGAAAAGTTCTTTAATATTTTCTAAGCCATTTTTTTTTTCTTTTTTTTTAGATTTTGTCAACTCTGGACTATTGCAAGAAAATTTGCTAGTATGTTTATTTTCTTTTTATTTCATAAAATAATTCACTATCACTTCGGTTTTTTTCGACAATGTTGTTGTAATTTTTAGTGAAATTGGAAAGAAAAACAAAACGATTTGTTTCTAGTTTAACATTCTAAGTCTTTGTTTTTACAGTTTTTACTTTAAAAACGCTACTTTTTAAAAGTTTAACGTTTGAAATTAGAAAAACTTTTTATAAAATGTTGAACAGAGTTTTGGGGGTGAAAAAAAAAATGAAATTTTCATTGAAAACTTTTCGATTTTAAAAGAAAACTTTAAGGCTATCAATAAAATAATTGCTCAATTTTTATTTGAAGATTTTTCTTACTATTTTAATGATAAAAGAAAAAAATTAATAGAATTTATAGTAAAGGAGTTGAAGAAAAGTTAAGTCACCCCTGGGAAGATGTGGACAATAGATAAGCTAAAAATTTATTAGAAAATTAGAAATTTAAAAATGTTCTTGAATCTTGAGTTTACAAAAATTATTAAATGAAAATTATTCAATTTTTTATATGAAAACGTAAAAATTATTGGTTTTATGCAAACTTAGTTTTTTTACTTAGGCCGCTGGACACCCATGCACCCCACATCTTTCCAAATTTATCTTATTCAAGATACCTTCCTCCGTGTTCCCCTCCCCCCGTGTAGCAATTATACTACCGAGGTAATTGAATTTTGTTACATTTTCTATAGCAGAATCATTTATCTTGAATTGCCTATTTATTCTGTGTTTAACTTTTCCTACGTTTCCAGGTAGAAGGTCGAGAATCGCTTGCATCTCTTCACATATGTATGAAAGCAGCACAAATATTCAGTATTTTTGTTTCATTTTCTTCGTATAGTGCCTTTATTATACTAATTATTTTCTCCGGTATTCTTTTCTTTTTTAGTATCTCCCATATACATACTTTCACAATTAATTGCGTCAAATGCTGTTTCGAAATCTACGAATGTGAATGATATATATAGTGGTGTATTTCGTTCAATTGATTCCTCCATAATTGTCAATATATTTGATTGATCTAAGCAGCTGCGTTATCTGCGGAAACTAGTTTGTTTTTCTCACAAATATATAAGGTTTTCTATTCTTGCGAGAATTGTCAAAGCCAGAACCTTACTAGTTCTCTTTTGTATGTTAATTTCGCGTCCAATTTTTACATTCCTTTAGATAACCTATTTTTGGTAGTTGTACTATCATAGCCCCTCTCCACGACTGCAGTACATTCTTATTATGCCAAATTTGTTCCATGATCGGTTGCAATTTTAGAGCAGCAGTATAATTGTCGATTTTTAGGAGTTCGGCTGCTTTATCATCTTTCCCCTCGGCTTTTTTGTGCTTCAATTTGTCGATAGTCTTCACAACTTCTTTTAGGGTTGGGGGCCTGGAGAGAACTGTTTTGAATATGAATTCTCGTTTCTGACCACATATCCTTAAATTTCTTTTTAAAATACAAAATCGGCTCCAGTTTCCTTTTATTCTTAAGACCAAATAACTTAAATTGTTTAATAATGTTTTACAGCATATTCATAACCAAATCATTTTACGTTCAGACCTAGAATAAGCAATCACTTCATTATTATTGTATTGATTTTAAAATTATCTTTAATTATTTAATTATTCTTTCAAATGCAATACATTGCTAATATACAAATAGGAAATTTTGTTTTAATATTTTATAAGCTTTCATGCTTACAAGTTTGTCTAACATTTTTTTAATATTTAATATTTAAAATATTAAATGTATTTGATATTTGTGATTTGTATAATATTATGTTGAAAGGATAATATGAATATATATTTACTATGTGTACAAGGATATAATGTGAAAGAATGGAATAGAATGAGTCTAATGTAATTTTAGTCTAGATCTAGATTACATAATATTTTTTACAAAAACAAGCCATGAATTTTTTATTATGTTGTCATTGTCTGATTGTATGTTTGTCCAAATACTCGTATATAGAAAGTAATGCAAGTAAATTTATTTTCTTTGTAATACAAATAAAAATTTTGTAAAAAATATTTGTTCAATAAAATATTCATTATATATGTAGTATTTATTTTGTTGTTTTGTTTTATAAATATTTAATATAGGTTTGAGTTATGAAATATTTCCTTAAATTTTCAAAAATTTTTTCATATACTAGGACGTGCTGGGAATGAAAAATCTATATCAACTATAGCTACATGCGACCCATATTAAAGTACTCAATTTGAACCCAGCCGAATCAACTAAAACAAAATAGGAAAATAAAAATAGCAAAATGGAAATCACAATACGAACCCATAGTCCAATATGTTGAATATGTTCTTTATGAAGGAAAGGTTAACAGTGAAAATAGAGACACACGTATGGCTTTGAAATAAAAATAGGCGGGGAAATTTGAGAGACAATATAAACTTGTTCGCGAAAGATCGAATGGCGGAAAGGACAATATTTCAATTGAATATTTTTTAAACACTAACAACATATAGTACGAAAATTGCTGACTACTTTTAGTGTTAAATTGATGAGAACGGTAGTTCAATACGAATTTTGCCAATTTTAAAATATGAAAGAAGTTATCGCAATAGTTCTGCTAAGAAATTACAATGTAAATAGTTTGTATACACAAATTATATACCTAATTTTACAATAGTCCACTATATTGTGAATATTTTATTGTAATAATTATAATTCGATTAAATTGTTCAGTTTATATTTCATTTAATTGAGGGAAGTTGAGTTTAGAGGTCAAGAAAATTTTTTTCCACTAAGATAAATTTGCAATAAAATGACACAAAATCTTAGTGACATACGATTTCATACAAAGTATACAATTATTTTTTAATTAGAACAATTTTTTTTTTTATTTTATAAATTATATTTTATTTTCTCTTTTGCATAATTATCTTTGAAATAGCTGAAAGTTAGACAGGTTAATAATTTTTTTTAATAGTACTATTTGTATAAAATTCTTTTTTATATGGTCGTATGCTGGAATATAAAAGTACTGTAGAGAAAAATTAAGTAAGCGTATGAAAAAGTAGAACGAAAATTCGGGAGAGATTCTTCCGAAAATTGAGATTAATTCCAATAATATATAGTTTTTATACTAGTATAGGGAGATTTAATTACCAAGAGAGATTTTATTAAATTTCTAAGACGAATTCATTCTAAGGCCTTTAGGAGGTGGCTTTTCCGGGCATGTTCCGAACCAAAAATTCGGCGCTAGATTCAAATTTATTATAAAATTCTTCATTTTATGTTAGATATGGTTTCTTTTCAATACCGCCGCAATATTTTAATTTCTATAATATTAAAGCAGTCTTGTTATAGGGGCGCTAAATTTTAATACTATTTTTACAAAATAATTATTGACTTTTAAATTTATATTTAAATCAGCTGCTATTAAATGTTAAACAAATTTATTATCTTATGATATTAATTAAGAAAAATTAAATTTACCTACTAACTGTATATTTTAATTATAAACAGTCATTGTTTTGAATTTTGAGCAATTATTCATAAGACATATAACAATTAATTGTCATAACAGTTACTGCTACAATTATTATATCCCATATTATAAATACAATAATTATTAAAAATTATTGTGGCACCTTGAAACGAAAACCAATAATAATTAGCTAGGTGATATGCTAGTGCAACTTACTATTTTTGTTCATAACAATTTAATATTTAAAATAAAGCTCAAAAAGCACAGCTCTTATTCTTATAAATTATTCAACAAAAAAAAATTAAATAATTAAATGTAATTAAAAATATGTATTAGGCGCCCATTATTTTCGAAAAAAAAAAATTTGAATTTAAGCACGTGAAAGAATAGAATTTTTAATAGAACTACAACATTCCATAACCATTAGGCTCCATATATGTATATACAAAAATTTTTATATAATTTTAATTATTTACAACCATGGTTAGAGAATTCTCTAGTCATAATCAACCAATTCAATTTATCATACATAACTACTATATTAAGTATATCGGATGTAATAATAGTAAACTTTGACTTGAAAAGCTTGTATAAAATAATTAAAAGCTTCTTAAGTTATTCTTAATGCATTATTAAACATTAACTACAATACACGCTCCTATTATTGGTTGCCTTTAAGCATTTTTAATCATTTATAATACAAATTTGTGCGTATGATTAAACAAAATTGCTCTATAAGAATTTTTTAAAGAACATAAAATCATGTAGAACATAAAATTATTATAGAAAATCAATTAACTCTGGTGGTACATTTAAAGTAATTTTTGAAAAAAAAAAAAATATTTGAAATTCTTTAAGAAATTTTTTTTCATTTGCAACCATTTAAAGTAGATCAACTTATATAAAGAATTTTTAACGCTATTTAAACACAAAAATTTCAAGAATTTTAATTAATTCTATTTTAGGTTGGTGTGTGACAGAAATTTGAACAAAAATTTATGCGCTAATCCATTAAATATTTATAATTGTTGTACATATGCAAGGGTGGTAATTAAATTTTTGTGATTTAGATGAACTTTAGATAGAAAAAATTTTGTATGCAAGGATTTTTGAATTTTATTTTTGAAATTATGAGCCTTGTAGTAAAATTATTAACGCTATTAGCTAGTATGATGATTATAAAGACTCATGTGCTAGAACAATTAAAAAAAGAATTTTTGATTTGTTGTCCAATTTCGAAATAGATTTATGAAATTTCTTTTATAGTATTTAATTAATCTATATAATAATTAATCTATATATATTTTTTTCTAATTTCAGAATGACATTACCAAATGGCGACAGTTAGTCATTATGAGATGCACTTAGGAACTAATTCATATTATGTAGCATCTAATCCGCAGGTGAGATTAAAATTTTATTACGTTTTATGCGTAACTAAAATTCAAAAATTATAAAAATTTTCAATCAAAACATGAAAACTAACCATATTTCTTTTTAGGTTATGATTTATGAATTATTTTAAATTATTGTTTTAATGAATATTAAAGTATTTATGACCGTACTTTTATGAAAAATTACCCTAGAGAATTAATATGCAGCCGCCAAATATGAAATTGGGTTGAAAAAGAATGTGCCTAAAGTGCGAAGAATACAGAAAATATGCTTAAAGTTGATATTCGCTTGCGTGAAACTCAAAAAACCAAAATACCAACAATTTCGAATTTTGTGAATAAATTTTATTCTTTTTATATTTAGAAAGTCTAAGACTATTTTTAGATATGTTCACCCGATTGAAATCTAAAAATAGTACAACATTAAATTAACATTTTATTAGTCTTAAGCAATTAGGGTGAATCAAATCAAGCAAATTGTTAACTTTTCTATTGATTTATATTGATTGATTTTGTTTATTTCCTCAAAATATCAATCCTTTAGAATTTGTCAAATTAGTTTCAATTTTATTTTGTTAATTTCAACTTCAAAGTTTTATCAGTTTCATTTTCTTTTGCTATAAAAAAACTTAAATGGAATTTAATTTTAGTATAAATATAGTTCTCTCTTATTTTATTTTAAGAATATTGAAAATAATGTAATTTGGTATGAAAACTAATTTTGTTAAAGTGAAAGAAACTTTTCTTTAATCTTCTATCACAAAATAATGTGCCTAATCAATTAAAATTGGTTCAATTTTTTGAGGGACATTTTTCGAAACTCATCAATTATTAGATATATCTCTCGTATATAGTTAATAAATAGTTATGTATGGGATATTTTGTATATTATAATATTAGAAACAAATTTGCTGGACACTGTTTTGAAAAGTCATCAATTACACAATGATAAAGAACAAAAGATGATCTCTTCACTGTCCATATTCCATTTTCAATCTCTTTTTCTCTATTTTTTCTGCTATTCACACAGAAAGTTGATTGTTTTTGAATTAAGGAATGTTTATAGGCATATTGCATGTAGGTTTGTGTATATGTGAATCAGGGCTAATATTTTTTTTTGGTTTTGCTTTCTTTTGTTTTTTTTTTATAGAAAAGAATAAATTTTTTCTTTTTGAAAAGAGTATAAAAATATCCTTTTTTTTATCCTTTTGCGTATCATTCCAGTTTCATATTACATAGTTTTAGATCTAGTGTTTGTATATAGATGTGTGTATGAAACTGTAATAAATCTTTTATAATTGTCAAATGATAAAAATAAAATATAGTCGATCAAAATCATAGTTTATGAAAAAAGCACATTTTACTTACGCCATGTATCTCTTGTATTGTGTATATTTCGAGATTTAAGAAGTTAAAAGCCTCTATTGGAATAATTTTGCTATAATCATAAAATTTTGCATATATTTAGGGGTATTTTTTCGAAATGAATTAATAAAACATCGATTATGTTATAAGCCGGTAAAATGGAGAACTCATTCAACTTGGTTGATATTTGGCTATCGTCATTGATTTTGTTTTACTATAATAGAATTCTGAGGTAAAACTTTTTCAAACGAGTATAGTTGTTATCGGTGTGGCAGATAACTTTCAGTGTTATGAATATAAAAAAGTTGACAGTGTTTATAATCTGATCAATAATACAGTGAAATAGTATTGGTCTAAGACTATTCCCTAGATTTGTTTTCCGTTTTTGATAGTATTTTCCAACATAGTTATCATTTCAAGTTATTAATATTAGTTTTCACTATAGAAGTTGTAAACGAGAACGACGTCCCACTTCGATATGCTTCATGATTTCTGACGTTAGGTTTTTCTGTAGCTACATTCTTGTATAAAATGCTTCTCATGTTTTGGTTCGTATGTTGGAGAATGACATATGTATGTATGTATTTATTCTGTTACTAGGTTTCGCAGAACCCCGGTTTTAAATATTTGTTCTTATTTTTTATATTAATAGAACCAATAGATTTTGCAGATTCCTCGAATATATTTGTCTTAAATTTGTTCCGTACGATATTCACTCCATTTGGCCAATAAATTTTATTTCTTTCTTTTCTTGGCTTCCATATAAACTTTTTGGAGATGAATTTACAAATGATTTCATTTTGTACTTTTCAACTATTTGCCGAGTGTCCCGTAACTCGTTTGAAAGTATTGCACAAATTTTCATTAAAACAAGATTGTGATCCTTTCTATTGCTAAAGATTTACATTTTCTGAAGATAGAATTCTTACATAATTTATTTCGGGTGAATGAACAGGCGATTCAATAGCAATAGATACATTTTATTTGAAATTTTAGGAACTGAGATAAAAAGAAACGAGAAAGTGTTTCTGTTTTTTGGAAATTTTGTTTACTTTTTAATTTTGCTGTAGTTTTTTATTCTTATTATTTTTTTTTTTGTAAGGGATGGTCTTGTCGCCCTATTTTATTCAACGGGTAATTAAGTTAAGGGTAAAGACAATGCTTTTTAATTGACATTTTATGTTTTGTTTTATATTTTGTTTAGTTGTCCTCCCTCATTTGACTGTTAAGGGTTTTTAAACAAAAGATTCATTTTGTTTTTTTTTTTTTTCATAAGCGTTTTTTCTCTTAAAATTACTTTTCTGTTTTGTTGTAATGATTTTTTTTTCTGTGTTTGATGGTGTTAAAAATTTGAGCGTGCGAGAAACCGTTATGTATCAGATTGAATTTTATTTTTTTTTTCTGTCTTTTTTCTTTTAGACAAGTGAAGTTTTGATAATTGATTCAATCTAATAATGTTTATGGTTCGGGACAAAATTCATGATTTATAAAATTTTTTTTTTGAAACTTTCATAATAAAGATTGTTTTTTTCATTCTTTTTAATTACTCGATTTTTCTTTTTTTTGTTTTTCTATGTCAAATTTTGTCGCGCCCCAAAAAATTTGTTATTAAATGAATATGTTAGAAAAAGTGATTAAAAGTTCTAAAATAATGGCATTTCATTATTGTTTAACTTGTGCCAGAGGGATTTTTTTTTGTGTAAAAGATATCTTAAATATTTTTAAGTTGCATATAGTGTTCTTTGACTTACTGACTGAGTTTGACTTATTTTGAATTTGACTATTTGAGAAATGTCATTGTAATGAACTGGTCAGTTATTTTAATGACTTTCTTTTTTCTAATCCAAGCCCGTGTCATAAAGCTTTTGAATTAAAATGAATTGAAATTCCAGTTGGCATTATAGTTAAAACAGTGTAGAAACTGTAATAGTATTTATTCATTTGAAACGAAATATTGTTAATCCACATTTTTTAAATTAAAATAATCACTTTGTTAATCTTATTTTGAAACTAATTAACAAGCGATATTTTTTAAACTAAATTACAAAGGGAGGATAATTTTTGCATCATAAAGCTTTACAGACCATTAAACATTGTCTATAATAAATAAACCGCAACAGATTATCATTTTCTTCCATATTGGATGAAGAGTTTAAAACTATTTTCTTACTATTATTATTTAATCGCTTCGGAAAACCAAAAAACGTTTTATTTGTTTTACTTGAAGATTAGAAAGTGAAAACGCAACTTAAGAAATTGGTATTCTTTTATAAAAATGAAAAGGTTTTTTCACCTTCATCTTCCTCTTTTTCTCCCTCATCCATTGTAATAAATTTTAATGGATAAATTTTGTTTTCAATTTGTAAATCATTATTTTTTCGTCACCTTATCACTTAAATGGTAATTACTACTGTATGCCAAAAAAAGACATGTTAAAAATTTCTCATATCAATGATGTTGATTTTCAACAGGAAATACAAATTGTCACAGTTATTATGATTGTGTAATTATTAAGTGTGGGTGTTTTACCATATTAAAGGCGTTTGAAAGCGTTTCTTTTGTAATAATCCAATTCGTAATATGTATTACGATTTAATCTATAAGTGGAGAGAAAAAAAAGCTATTATATATATTGAAAAAAACTATTATTATAATATATTGAATATTTAATAGCTCTTAAATTTCGAAATTAAGAGTGTTAGTATGGCAATGCGATTAAAACACTATTGAACAGTAAATTACTACAGCAAATATTGGATTTATATTGTGAAAAAAATTGCGCAAGAAAAAAACCACTTTTAGAATTAATAAAACTTACCAAAAAAGTAATGTAAATACTAGGATTCAATATAACAGCGTACTTCATCTCTTTCTGCTTTAAATTTCCTACTAGTCGCTCCAGTATACCTAGAAATAGTAAAATATTCTACATTAGCAGGGAATCACAATATTATACTTATTACTTTTCTAAAAAGTTGAAACACATCAATCATAATTTCCAAAAGATTTTTGTAATTATTTTTCTTTATTTTCTGATAAAATTATTTTTATAAAACTTTTTCCAATAAATATTTAAAATTTTTATTGATCCATATGATCTGACCATAATTCATTAGCCAGAGGCAATGAATTAGTTAAAAAGCCAAATTTAGTTACGAAATAAATTGTACAACAACTTGGGCTTTGGTACTACTACAACAAATTTGTTAAGAAAAAAGTGTTAAATATCCAAATTTGTTGTTTTAAAACAAAATTGGATATTTAACACTTCTTTTTTTAGATTTCATTTTTATAGTTAGCTAGTTATTTAATAAAGCTTAAGTAACTAGCAAAATCAATTGATTATATACTCAATTTGTATATTTTTTCTTCATATTTTGTTTAGCATTTGGATTATTTTGTACTACTGACTAATCCACATTCAGTTTTTGCTTTAGTCGTTGTCGAAATAATTTTCCTTTTTAAATTTTCTTGCTTTTCTTCAGGTAATTAATTGCAGAATGTTAGTTTATAACATCTAATACTAGAAGAAAAATTATTTTCTATTTCGGAATTTAAATTTCTGTTTTGCATTTACTTCTATAATATACTCCTAATCAGTGCTGTAGTGGAGGGTATACGGGGGTATACGCCGTATACCCTATGCTTTTAAAAATTAGATAGCGCATACCTAGTGGTTTTACTTAAAAATAGCGTATACCCTATGATTTTGTTCAAATTTCTTATTAAAAATTTATTATTTTCTTTCTTTGTAATAGTAAAAAAAAAATGATAATAAAAATTGTACTGAAAAATTGCAAAAAATTTTCAAATTAACAATTCACACAAAATATTTCATTAATTTAGTAATAATTTCTTGGGAAAAATATATCAACTACATATATTCAAATTAATAATCAAACAAGCCTCCTTTAACGAAAAACGGAAAACGAATATAACCGAACCTTTAATTTTTGAAAGTGGTAATTTTGTTTAAAACCACAATGAAATGAAAACTTTAAACTTTCCTAATATTTAAAAGTTATTATGTTTGCTTAATAGAAAATATGTTAAAAAATTAAAGTTTAAATAAAAATAAAGTTATATTTTCTGATGTTAAAATCATTTACAAAAAAAAGTAAAAACGACTTCTTCAAGATAGATGTTCTCTTATTACCAATGCTGTATTTATCTAGCAGTGATATAAACTAATACATAAACAATTTGGTTTTCGATTTAAAACGATTTTCTTCTAATTCTATACAATTGAAAATATATTTGAATTTTATCAAATACTCTTCTTTAACTAAAGTTGCTATGGTAGCCATGCTAAACAACGTTATTGTGGACGTTAATTTTGCATATTCTTTAGTTTATTTGAAGTTAGCAAAAGCTGATGACAAAATAACATTGATTTTCAAGAAAATATAATTTTGAAAACTTCTTTAAGTAAGTTTATTGATACTGGCTTAAAAGCTTATTTAAATTGTTTTTAATTGTTGATGAAAAGTTGGTGTTTGTAAAAGTTGTATGTAATATTTTACGTCTTTTTTTCAAATAATAATATAATTAAAAATAACATTGTTTATTTTTACCAAAAATTTATATTCTCAAGCGTATACCCTATGCTAATTTTACGACTACAGCACTGCTCCTAATATACATATACTCCTTCAGTATAATATCAACCAATTATCTAATATATGTAATTCTGCGACGAACTCCTACAATTTTCCTCCCTTAAAAATATGAGATTTTTATGTAGTAGTCGTCGTTACATATCACATTACAATTGTAACGGAGACTACTTTCGAGAAAATTTCACAGTAAGAATTCTCATGTTATTAATTCCTTTTGTCCATCCAACTTTCATAATAATTGGTCCTGCTCGAAAGTTCTGTACCTGCTTAGCTACAATATTTTCAAGGTTATTTTAAATTTTTTGTAAGAGCACAATTACAATTCAACTTCTTTCATTTACATTAAAAATTTTGTTAAACTACGCACTTTCTTTTAAATTTAATGAAGAACTGAAAATGAAAGTTTCAATCATTACAAAACCGAAAAAAAGAGTGATTTCTTGTTTTTATATTTTGATTATTAGACAACGCTCTTTTATTTTCTTCTTTGTTAAAAAAAAACAAAAAAAATTAGCAAAAAATTTAAAAAGCATAACAAAGCTGCCATTAATTTGTTTACTCGTTTCATTTTTTTTTTATATTAATAGGAAAAAACGGGCATTATAAAAGAAGAAACGAGAAAACCAACCGAAATGAAACAAGCTACTAAAATGCTAAAATATCTTAGCTGCTTCAATGACTTTAATATGACAGTTAATGTGTCTAGAGGGTATTTTTGTTTTTTTTTTAAATAAAATGACAAAAGCAATTTTTAATTAGCTTTTTAGTTAAATTTTGATCATGATTAATAATATTTGACTGAAACTATCGAATTTTAAAGAGTTGAAAAAACTCTTTAATAATTTTCAATGTATTGATTTGCGAATAAGCTGTTTAAAAGTTCACTGAAATGTTTTTCTTCTTTCTTTCTTTTTGTTTTTGTTTTTGTTGTTTAAATGGTGATCATATTAATTTTGGTGATGCTCCATTAAACAGTAATTTTTATGTCAAAAAAAAAATCTCTTAGGAGTACTTTTGTAAATTTTATCTTTCAATTTTGGTTTGTTTTTACATAAAAGAAAAAGTGAGATTAAAGTAAAAAAACACGATTTAAAGTTTTTAAAAGTTTTTGGCTTTGTATTTTTTGCCATTTATGTAAGTAATTTGTGAAATTGTTAATTAATGAGTCATAATTGTGTAATAAAGTTTAACAGGATTTATTATATTTTTAGTTTTCTGTGTTGAAATTGAAACTATATTAGATATCTAATTGTAGAAATTAAATATTTTATAATAACATATTGAATTTAAGAATTTTCGAGGCGCAGTCCATGATTTCATGAGGTGATGTAGCTACTCAATCAAAAAGAGTATAACGCCAAGCGTTAGGATATTGAAAGCTTATTGATACTATAAAAACTTCAGATAAACTCATCAGTTTTCTCTACAAGCAGACAAACAATTCTCTACAAGCAATTTACAAAAGTTTTTTCAGCCCGTTCAAGAATGCCCACCTTCTTCCTTCTTAAATAGAGATGTCCCAAATTTTCCCAAAATCCCAATCAAACGGACAACTTCCTGTTATCTTGGCTTCTGATGATTGCTGGATTAATTTAGATTTATGTATATTTTTACTACATAATTTTTGTGAATTACTGTTGAAGAACTAATAGAAGGCGGTAGTAAGAATTAGAATAGACTTTTTTTTTTATACGTAAACCTGGGCATAACAATTATATTTATCTATTTTCCAGTTTAATATTGAGGAAGTAATTTTTTTCCTATTTTATACTTTTAAGTAAAGGGTACATTACCCAATTAACTTATATTCAATGTACAAACAAGTGTACAAACTTTTAAAATTTTTTTTTTTTTTTCATTTAAAAAAATCATTTAGACCAATCCACAACCTATCACACCTTTGATCTGATTATAAATTTATCAGCTTCTAACAAAAAAAATAAAACTTAGTGGTTTGTTGCAAGTAAACAGAAATATAACTTTTATTATATAATAAAAAATTAAATAACATTGATAATATGAAGAGAGAAAAAAAAAAGGTAAAGAAAATATTATAGTGAAAGGATAAAATTAAGTTGAAGTAAAAGTGGGCAAAGTAGGTATCTACCAATAACAGCAACAAGAATTGATGGAAAGCAAGAGTTGAATGAACAATTTTCTTAAATTGGCCGCAAGCCTTCAAAAAAAAAAAAAATAAATCATTATAGAAAGGTTCTTTGAACATTTTTAATGATGAATTGTGGTTTTCCTCATTCTTGTATTTAAGTTTTTTTTTGTTCTTTTTTCAATTTCTTTTTATTTCGTTTTGAGCTCCAATAGAGATTTTTATTCTTCAAGAAGAATTAGACTTTAGAATAATGAACGAAAAGTTATAAAAAAGTACTATTTTTTTTTTAAATTTAATTTTCTTCCTGAAATGAAGATACTTTCAAGACCGTATCATAAAACTTTGTGAATCGTTAAGTGGATTAAAAAATGATGAGTTCAAGAGTATATTGAATGAAGTGTAATGAAAAATGCTTCATGAATATGACATTATTGTTTAGCTTTAGTTAACTTGTACTTAGTATTTAATAAGGTAGAAAAATTAAAAATTGAAAAAAACTAACTTTGACGTTAGATATTATAAAATTTTTATTATGTAGTGTAAAAATAAATATTTAGTAAATTTTCTTTGGTGCTCATGAAACATTCAATATAAATGAGGAAATGATTGTGAGAATTTTGTGATTGGCATGAAGTTTAATTCACTTTTTTCCGGAAGAAAATATTGTGACGAAACCAAAAGATTTACTTTCTGGTTGGAAAAATAAACGTTTATAAAAATTTTTTTCATAAAATATACAGGAATTTTTGATTTGACAATAAACTTTAATATAATTTTATTTTATTATTTCAGTTATCGCCGATGTATGATAAATCGAAGAAATCATGGAGTCAAAGGCTCAAAATTACAAAAACAGAAAAAATTACGACACCAATGGTACCTGTAACACCAACACATCAACAATTGAACGAATTCGCAACATTCGAATATGGCCCTAGCGGTGCTTTATCTCGTTCAATGAAATATGCTGAACCATGGCTTTATAGTACTGTTCGTGGAATACCTGCTATACGACCAACAGTTCATTATCATCATAATGGACACCCAACGGCAATATTTACACCAATACCGGCTGAAGTAGCTGTAGTTATTTGTTCTTGTCCAGAATATTTAACAGGTACAAAACGGGATGTTAAAAAAGCTAGTGTTTGCAAAAAGTGTAAAGGATCTCGATTACCGCTTGCTCCGATCGGTGGTACTGTACGTTTAAGACCTACAAGTACACCTGTTATACATCAGCAACGTATTAGCGCAGCTACTTTAAGATTACCTTCTACAACAAAATCTCGCCCATCTATTTTGGATACACAAAATGATCCATATGATATGATGAGAAGAACTAGGCTACTATCGCCAGATCCACCAAGAGAAAGCTTAAAAATATCTAATTCGCGTCACATAGATAAAAATCAAAGTTCTAACTCTAAGAATCAAAATGGTACAATGGGTAAGAATACAGTTGCTAGTCGGGGTAGAAGTCGTTATAGAACCGGTAATGGAACAAGTATTAGTAGTACAACCACAAATATTTCTGCAGCTGCCATCAGCACAAGTTCAAATAATATTAGTGAACAGGAAATGATTTCAATAGCTAAAACTGCCACTATTCGAAGCCGTAGTGCTAGTAGAGGTAAAACTCCTCAACCGCAAAAAGCAATTAGAGATCGATGGTCAGATGCGGGGGGAGATATGCAAATAGATCCCGGAGGTCGTCGATCAATTCTAGAATGCAATGTTAATCCATACGAGTTGATATCTTGTGGTACAATGAACGCAAACAATGAGTTTTCACCTCCAGATTCAGATGATATGTTTGATCTTCCATTAATGAGAACGAAGAGCAATTCTGATGCAGTTGCAATAGCAGCAGCAGCTGCGGCAGCTTTAATTAAAGAAAAGAAAAATAGTTCTTTAAATAAAGGGAAGAAGTTAGGTTATTCTAATATACAAGCTATAGCTGGACAACGTATTATTTTAGGTGAAGAAAAAGTTCAGTCAAAACTAATAGCAAACGGTGAAAATTTCCATTACGAAGATATAGAAGTGCAAGCTCAAATATCACCTGTTGGTGGAAGCTCAAAGAATGTCGACATCAGTTTGGAAGAAAAAGAGACAGTAAAACAATTATCAGTTAATTTTGCTGTCGAAACTGAAGATGATTTATCACCTACTGAATTTGTATCCGATGGAAAAGCAAAATTCCATCCAAAACGACCACCTAGGAAAAAACACGAAATTTCAACAGGCAATTCTATTGATGACGATGCTGAATCTTCAATTCAGAACAATATTTCAAATAGTTCCAGGTAATAATAAAATATTTTGTTAATTAAATTTTTTTTTTAAAAATAAAAATCTTTTGCAAGCAAACTGTGATCTAAATGTCCAAATATATTTTCTTATCTTTTATAGTTTAATACACGACAATAGTTGTGAAATGCAGTCTTCAAATGAACAAAATTCTGATGTATCAACACCAACAACACCAACAACAGTACCATTTCCAAAGCAACAAACAATTAAATCGATTTTAAAACGTCCTTCATCTGTATCGTCGTCTCTTTCCACAACTTCATCAATAAGTGATAATGATGCCAAAAACACAATTAATCAAACAACTTCAACTTCATTTAAATCCTATATAAACTCATCATCAGTACAATCAGATTCTATATTAAATTCACAAATAGATAATATCACAACAATTGCAGCAACAGCAGCCAAAAAATTTCTTGCCACAGGAAACTCTTTAAAAAAATTTAACAGTCAGACATCAAATCAAAATCAAAATATTTTAACAAAGGATAATAATAATTGTAGTGGTATAACTGTGAATTTCAATGCTATCTCTGACCTAAAAAATAATTCATTAGATAGTTGTAATGTTAACAACAATAACAACAGTAATAATAAAAGAAATAGTGGTAGCGGATCACAATTTTATTTACCAATGCCATCACAACCAACTCGTAAAAAAGTTCAATTTATGGTTGAAGATAAAATAATTCAAGATGACCCGGAAGATGATAAAAATGATTCTTCTATAGAATTTGATAATTCTAATGTTAAAAATTTACAAAATAAAAATGTTGCATTTATTGATGTAGTAGCAGTTGAAGACAGTATTAAAGAAAATCAAAAATCTAATGATTATCCAATAAAAAATGGTCACAATAGTAATGAAGAATTTTCTAAAGTTGAAAATTTCCAAACAAACAATAAAATTTCTAGTACCAACAACAATAACATCAGGAATAATAGTAATGATGAAAATGATGATTTCGATGAAATCACTAATATCGATAATGATGATGTAAGCATGATTAAGAATAAAAATAAATCTTTTAACAATGGTAACATGAATAGAATAACTAATGGTAAGCATCAGTTTTCGGATGTTGAGAATCAAAATTGTCATCAATTGATGTTAATATTAGAACAACAGAAAGTACAATCTGAAATTTTAGATTTATTGCATAAGCAAACAAATGATCTTTTAAAGAATTCAAAAGATTCAAATAGTTTTAATCACAGTAGTAGTACTGATTCAAGAATCAATAGCAGTACCTACACTAATAATGATAATATGAAAGATGATTTATTTAATAATAAAAGATTTAATATTGATTCAAATGAAACAAAAATCACTATTAATGGAAACAATTCATTGTTAGGAAATGAATCAAATGCAGGTAAGTCTTTTAGTTGTATTTTGTTTGTATATTTAAACATCTGGAACAAATATACAGATGGCGGTTTATGTTAGCACTTTGGACTTTAAGTTTGTATCTAACTCGAGAATTTAAAAAAAAAAATATATATAAAATCGAATTTCTGCGACAGAAACTATTCAACAATTAGTTCAAATTCAGCTTCATCCTTAACATCAACATCGTGTTTCAAATTTTGTGTATTTAATTGGAGAGATCGGGTAGACAGTATTTTTTTTCACAAATTTTAAAACAAAGTGTCACATAGACAAATATAATTTGCGGCAGCATGTACAATTCAGTGTGATTAGAGTCGCCATCTCTCCGCGTAATAGCAGAGTTGTTTAAGAAAAACAGGTACAACTTATTACAATTTGTTATCTTTTAAAGAAATTATTTTTGTGTTTAAAAGAAAAATAGACTTTAATAAGTTTTATAATTGGTTTTCATGTAAAATTTTTTATTTTTAAAATTTTGTCATTTTATTGAACAAAACTTTCATCATTTAGAATTCACTTTATCACTGTATACGCGCATAACAACATTTAATATTCTATTAAAACGAATTATTATTCCCTTGTCAAATGTACTCTGTATTGTTACTATTGCCATTTGTTACTATTGTCATCGAAAGTTCGTTTGTATCGTAAGTTTAAAAGCAAAAATTTAACATCAGAATTTTTACCTTCATTATATAGAATCGGAAAAATAATTTTATTTTCGTGTTTGTTTGTGATCTTAAGTCTTTTTTATAAATAATTTTTATTCACAATATTCTTTTGTGTCCTAGGACAAAACAAGAACAGTCGTTTTTTTTTTCTAGATTTTCTATTTTTTACTTAAAAACCATTAAGCAGTCAACATTGAGCGCCGTTTCGAATTAAAATCTTTTCAATGTTTGTCTTTTATTTAGTTTTTGTTTCCATTTTTCCTGATGCAGATACATATATATCTTACATACATGCATAATAATGTAAGTACATTTTGAAATGCAACACTGAAAATAGGTTTTAGTTTTCCATGTTTTTCTCGTTTTATTTTCGCTTTTATAAATATTGTTATGCTTATTTTGAGTGAATAAATTTTTTGTTTTGTTCTTAATTCTGTAACTGTTACCTATATCTATGGAACTAATATGTATGTAGATGCCAGTTAGATAAAGTTCTAGCTACAACAAGTTGCATGCCTTTTGTCTTATTTTCTTTTATGTTGTGTTTTTGTTTTGGTTCATGTTCTTTAAAATCGTCAGCTTTTTTTCTATGTCGTTTTATGATAGGGGTATGTACGGGTATTCCATTTAGGTATTGTTTCATATTTATACCAGCAGGTATTTATTTCGTTTTTTTTTTTGTGTTCCTTAGTATTGCTACCTTAATTTTTCTAATTTGCTAACACGGGAATTTTTTTTTTCTAAAATTATGAAGTTTTTGTGTATGCAGGTATTTTGATGGGAATATTTTTGGTATAAATGTAGATATTTTTTTTTGGAAATCAAATAGTGCAACCAAAATACGTATGACACTTTTGTTATTTCTAAATACACGGTGATTTTTAGTAAAAGGAATTTAAGAAAATATTATTGTTAATGTTTTATTCTGTTTTACGGGAAAGTTTGTTATTACTTACATATTTAAATTGTGGTAAATTTTTGCTCTTATTAATTTGAATCAATAACATTTGCAGAGTAATAGAAAAAATGATCATAATATAAGTAAAAATATGAATTCAATATTGTCATACGTAGAATTTTATCTAACGAATTTAGCTTCATTCTAAAATTCGTCTTAGAAATTATATTACAATTTATTAGAATGAATCACTAAATTAAAATTAAACCCATTTCAGGTTATGATGACCAAATTGTAATGAAAATTACCACAATATCTTTTAGTATTTCTTAATGTGCAAGTTGTATTTTCATATTTATTTAATAAGAAAATACCTGAAGAAGAACTTGGCTCCTAATTGGTAAAATTGGAAGCAACAGTTGGGTCAACTTATTTATATTCAGCAAGTTATGGTCGCTATTACGATGTACATAACAATTTACAATGTACATAATTATTGTATCTTGTGTAACATGTACCTAAAATCACTGGAACAATGTAAATGATTTATAAATGCACCCTTTGAAAACTTGTAAATTATAGAATTCGGTAATGTTCCGTTCCGTTCTATTTTTAAAATTAAAAATTTCGAAATTTCTGAATTTTTTTATAAATCAGATTTACGTATAAATACAAATTTGCTTCATATTTTTTTAAAACAGTTTATTGAATATTTTATGCATAAAAATTATCTTAAATAAATTCCAACTATACTCGTAACTAAAAAAAAATAAAGGAAAATTTAAGTAAAATGCCTTTATATAAATAAATATTTATTTATTCATAAACTGAAATCCTGTATACTTAGATTTAGGTATACAATGTACATCTTTCGTAAAGATATTCGAAATTCTTATGCAATTACAATATGCATCAATTATTTTACATGTTTTGCTCCAATATAAGATTTTGTTGGCTTCAAATACTTAGTATGACTAGAGAGTTGCTTATTATTCTACCTTTCGACAACATGATGGTGTTCATTTTAATTTTTTTTTGTACTATACAATATTGGTAATTTTATTTGGTAGATGGTGAAGAAATAAAAAAAATATTTTTCTTGTTAAAATTTGTAATCGACTTATTTGCATCTTTTTTGAAATTTAAAGCTGCCTTTTTTTTCAATTCAATTCAACCATTTTTTTTTGTTTTTTTTTTTAGTTTCTAAAGAGTGACTTTTTGGGTGATGGAATACAATGTACAATATCGGTTTTTATCTGATGAATTTACTCAATATTTCAGTATTACTTATGTGGTGATGGTATCAAGATGAAATTTTTCCTATCATTTCAAAACATTTTCATTTATATAGATACATGTATTGAAAATATTGAATTTATGGAATCTATATATAGGAATACGTTTATATAGGAGATGTTTAGAGTAGATGCTATATTGCATAATATTTCAAACCTTTATAAAATAAGAAGAAATATGAAAGAAAAAAAGAATTTCAATTTGAATATGGAAAAATGGGTCGTTTACCATTATGTGTAGATAAGAACGAGTGAACATATACGAACTTATCTGTATGTAAATCGTTATACATAATATGTGTTATATTCGATGACTAACAAAATATTTATGTATATATATATACATTTGCATTAAAATGCAATGCGGTTCTTGTTATAACATAATTTAATTTTTGATTGTACCTTTAATATATTTTAATAGAAAATTATTTTACATAATATTTTAATATGTACGTGTAGAAAAGTGGGGTATTGATGAATGCATGAAGAAAATTTGATTAAATCATCTTCTAAAGTTGAATTGAAATTAAGTGCATTAAATTTATTGCAATGATCTCGGAGCACATAATGAATCTCATATCTTTTTGAATTAAACAAGTGATTACTAAAAATAGCACATTCCCATCAGTTAAAAATACTCTTTTTCCAAACATGTTAATGGGGGAAGACGGTAATCTAAAAGAAGCATTAATTTAATATTGGAATTATGGATTTAATGAGGTAATTTAAAATAAGCAGTTGTAGGTTTTAATATGATGGCATTTTTGCCAAATGTGATTCTGAAAATTTAATTTATAAATCACTTATATAATTATTTTTAGGATTTTAAGGGACTAAAAATTTTGCAAACTCTAAGGGGGATGGAATTTTTGACATAAAGAAATAAAGAAGATACAATTCTAAAGAAGTTTTTGGACTTACGGACTGGTGGACAGAGACCGACAGAGCGAAACTCATGAGCACTTTTTTTTTTGATATTCTATTGGAAGTTATTGAGTGATAAGATTCATGTTTGTCAAAAACATTAATTTTCTTTAGCTGCCCTCACTTCACATGATATACCAAATACATTTTCGGTAATTTTCATATTAGGAATTTTTAACAGACATTATGCTTTTTTCGGCATAAATTCACTTTTTAAACTTTAATGCATTGTTACCGATTTTAATCAAATTTTATATTTGGTTACTTTCAATAGATCAAAATGCACAATAAAATCCTCGTTTTTTTTATGGTTTGTTTTGTAATGCATAACATTCTACAATTCCATTCTACCTTGAAAAATATTAATTACATTTTAATATTTAAAATACATACATACAATAATATCCTAAGAATACACCGATGAACTAAATTTATTCCGCGTTCTTTTTTTTTTTTTGCTACATTTCATCATTTTTTTTCTTACATTATTTACTATCAGATTAAATTTCCATTCTCCATATGATTATTTTATTTTTTCATCTATTTTTTTCTGACTCTTCCATTTTGTAGAGCAGCAGTTGCATTAGTTGATGTTTATGTTATTGGAAACTCTACATATATTCATATATACATCATGTTATATGGCATTGCAAGTTTGTTATAATAGTAAAATTTATAAAAAAAAATATTATACGTTCATGTACCATGCTAAGGTACTAGTAAGTACACTTATTATATATTTTATGAAATTCTAAACTAGTTGCATGTAGATATATACAGACATAATATAAGTTTGCTAGTTAGAGCATAAAATTCTATATAAAAAATTATTCTTGCTCTTCTTCTTCTTCTTCTTTGGTTTTCAATATACTTAATATTGTATAGAAAATCTCTGAACGTAATATACTAATAATAATTGAAGATAAGCCAAACAAGAGAAATTCAATATTGGGTACAAGGAATTTTAATTCTCTAAAGAGAATTTATTTATGTTTGTTATTTTATGCTATTTATGTTTAAATATTTTTCAATACAGTTAGTGTTAGTGTATAAGATTCATTGTATTTTGTACACATATTTTAGAAAATATGCACCTATATTATATTATGTATGTAGGTAGATGCGCTCATATAGCCAAATAAAAATATTTCATTTATTTCGCAATGAACTGAAGGATGAATAAAGTATAGAAATT